TCATCTTCAGTCTGAGCCGCGGAGTGGGAGGCGCGCGAGGGGAAGGGAGTGGCGCTGAGCACCTTGAATGAAGGCAGCAGCAGTAGCAGCAGCAGGTGTTTGCGTGAGCCGTCAGGAAGAGCCGCATTCCTGGGATGTTTCCCCTCTTGCTTTCGGCGTCGCACTGCGCACACAAAGCTCACACTGCGAAGCCGTTTGGATTTTGCTCTTTTTTTTTTCTTCACGCTTTGTCACGTCACACTGTCGGAAACTTCAAGGTGTTTTAGGAAGCAGGTGCACTGAAGTTGGACAGTGTGGCCTGCGGCATGAAGACCAGCAGGTCAGAGAGAACGATGTATTTTTGAAGCCCCAATAACCAACCTGCATTGGCGCATGCACCTCATGCACATTTTGCATGACGTGCACTTTATGCGACCAATATGGAGCCATTTGCCACCATCCAACAATTTGTGTACCTGCAAATAATTACGAAATATTAGCATTCTGTGATTTAGTGAGTAAGAGGTTTTTTCTTTTATTTTTTTTTCTTTTCTAGAATAGGGCACCAAAACTGGCTCCAGCCCTTGGGCCCTCGTTTTTTAAAATCCGGCCGTGATGGCAGCCTATTAGAAGAAAGCCTTCATAAATAAGAAGTCACAAAACGGGTTTAGGACATGGATGAGATGTTGAAGAAGATTCCTCTGTTCAGATTAAAGATCATTTTTATTTTATTTTACAATGAAGCCGATTGTGTTCAGGCTTCACCAAATATATATTTAGATCAAATCTTTGCAATGTACTTGAATGGCCCAGTCAAAGTCCAGACGATCAGTGGAAAGAGTTGAAGACTGATGTTCACAGATCCAACAGCTTGTATAATCTGACTGAGTTTGAGCTACTTTTCTTTTTTTTTAATATAACCCTTATTTCACCAGGATACAAAAACTGATTTGGCTTCGGTGCAACAAATTGCAGTAAAGGTGCAGTAACAGAGTTTCGACTATTTGCCGAATGCAAATCCACACCGCACTTTTCAGATCTTTGAATAGAGGACAATTTGAAAACCTTTCACTTTACAATTATGTAAAGTCCTCTTTTGCCAAATACAATGTAAAAATACATAGAGGTTGCTGTATGCAGCGTGACAAAATGAAACAAAATGTGAAAGGGATAAATACTTTTACAAGGTTAGATATGAGACGTTTAAGGAACGAAGCCACACTGGAAATATCAATTCTTTTTTTTTTTTTTTTTTTGCATCGCTCTGAGATTTTCTACCATCAAATGTTGCACATCCACCTGAGTTCTCATAAACTCAGTTTAGCTATTAAAAAAAAAAAAAAAAAAAAACTGCCTTCCTTTCTCTTGACCTTTATCTCCTTCAGCTCACATACACCATCGTCATGGCAACTGAACTGCAGCAGCGCTGCTGGGCTTCAACAGAGGTTGAAGCAGCGAATAAAGATCAAGATCCACTGAAAGGCTGCAGGGCGGATCGGGGCAGAAACTGATCATCAGGAGAACCAGTTGAATGTGAAGTAGTGGAAACACGGCAGACGGCGTTGACGTGCTACACGCAGTCTCTGCTGCTTCTCTGTAATCCCCCACAGATTAACTCACTTCACTGCACGGCCCATTGCACTTGAAACTCATGCAACCCACTGGACGGCTTTAATCTGCCTTCCATCTTTTTTTGTTGTTGTTGTTGCGTTTTGTTTTCTTTTTATCAGTTGCTCAACAGTTACTCTCACGGTTTCTGTCCTTCTCATGTTACGGTCACCGCTTTTTTTGGGGTGGAGGGCGGTTTAGTGGTTGTAGCCGCTCTGCTCAGTTCAGTCTACAACTCCAGATCTGCACTCGGTGTCAGGGTGAGGAACACACCGCCTGCTGTGTTAACTCTTTTTTTTTTTTGAGTAATTGCCTGGTAATTGTGCTGTAAGAACTGGCTGGGTGTGGCTCAGACGAACCCACACCGTGTCCAGGAGGGACGCTCCACCATCTGGTGCAGGAATCCTCATCACAGCAGATGTATGGGTGTGTGTGTGGAGAGGGGAGGTGTAGCAGTAATAGGGTGAGGAGGTGGGCTAACAGTCAAGGCTAATTACTGTACAGCTGTAGTTTTACACTTTTGGTGCTGTTTGACAGGGTGGACAGAGACCATGTTGCAGCTACTGCGTCTGCAGCGGGCGTGTCGGTGAAGCCACATTTGTCAGTAAAATACTGCATAGCTGGTATTTTAATCTTTTTTTAAATTTATTTATTGTTTCATTAAGGCACTCTTTTGCAGTCGCATCATAATTTCAGGAATCATGAGCGCAGTATTTAGTCACACATGTTGGGGATTTCCCCCATGTTTGCCCAAAAACATGTTTTATTTGTTGTTTTGTATTTGTTGCTCGACTGTTCTTCTGGCTTTCCAGCATGAGAACGGTGCCGCAAACCCACATGTGTGTTTCATTAGCATGTTATCGAAAGTTTAGTGAGTAGATTCACTCACACACTGTAGCTATAACTGGAACACTATTGGATCCTTGACTCCACTTGAATTCATATTTATTAGTCTTTACAACTGTGCAGTTTTTTCTAAAACATTGCTAACTCTTCAGGAAGCATTCAAAGTCACATTAAGTCCTTCTAAAGCCTCGCCTTTTTAGCAGACACCACACCTCAGACACAGCGAAGCCATCGTCTGATTCTTTGCGTTAACAGTGAGCGATGTGTTCCACCGAAACCCAAAAGAGCAAACTTAAGGCGAGTTATTGCCTTAAGTTATTGCGAGTTACTGTATACCTGAAATGTGCTTCCTGCACTGTAGGAATGTCAAGCTGCTGATCTGACTCAGATCACTGGTATGTGCACCTGCAACCTGCTTCCCACCGCCTCCCTCCGTTGTCAGGGATGCGGTGCCGGTTGTGGTCAGTGGACTTTCTGTTCTTGTTGATAAAGTAGACTCTCTCTCACTCTTTCCCCCCCCCGAGATAACGAAGGACAGAAAGTCTTTCCAGAGATTCAGCTGGCCTGCAAGCGACCGGGTTTGCTTGGCGATGGTGTGCGCAGCAGACAAGCTTTTCAGGGTGTTATTTATGTATTTTTTTATCCTTTTTCATGAGCCATGTTGCAATCCTAAAGCCGGTCTGCCAGCTGCTCTGCCAAGCACATCACTCTTTATTTGGACTGCTGGAATTTACAGCTTAGATAGTACTCTTGCTTGCTTTCTATCCTGATGAAAAAAATTAATATATGAAACTTTCAAGCTGGTGCTCTTAGGAGAAGCAACATTTGTTGCTTCTTGTTTCCTGACGCTTCAACTTTCACGGCAGCCATACAGAAATCTTCCCTAACTCTGATTTTATCTCTTTCCTGATTGCGATCTTCAGATGTTTATGACGTGTTAAAAGACTTGAGACCTTTTTTTCCCCCTGCATACCTGTAATCAACACAAACAAGTCATAATGCTGTGATGTGCAGATATTCAGCACTTTTCATCTGCACCCTGCCCCGAGAGTTTGCCAAGCGCGGGGTGCCGTTCACTTCATTAAAACGTCGGTGCAGTTTTTCTTTTTTGAATCTTGGGTTACAGTAAAAGGACTAAAATGTCTTCAAAGGCCCGATGGTTTCTCTCATGCCAGTGTGATGTTTAATTACTTCTGCATGTTTGTGTGACTGACGAGGGCCACCAGATCCACGAACCGCATGCAGTCTGTTTCACTGTCATCAAATAAAACTAAAAACGTTTTAGAAAACTTGTCCTGCTTTCCTGAGTTGTTTACATGAGTCAGAGAGAGTTTAATGACGTAGAAAGTGTGTGTGTGTGTGTGCTGGGAGATTTTATGGCAGAAAAAGTGGTTTGGGAGTTCAAAATGTTCAAATATAACAGCTTGTATGTTTAGAGCTTTTTGCTTAAAGGGGAAACGTTGGATATGCACAAATTTTTCTGTGATTTGTTTTTGGTGAAACTCAACAGATCATTCAGTAGCAGTGGTGTACCAAACGTCACTATTTCAATGTCGTCGATGAATAACTCCTGCATCGCCTTATTTAACGCAGTAGTGTACATTGTTTTGTTGACAAATGAGTGCACTGATGCTGTAGAAGTGCAGATGAAGAATCTATGCTGTAGAGAATCGCAATTCCTACTCCTATAACTTCTGAAAAATCGATCCTACATCTTTGCCGCTCCTATTTGCGAGTTTACTGCATATGGTATTCAGCATCCACTCAGCCAGTATATAATGACATCTCACCTACTGTGTGTATTTTGACTGGTTCTTTGATATTTTCCTATTAGAGAAAACACCAGGCAGCTAGGCTAACCTAACACTCGTAAATTAAGTTACAGAATTTTATGCATGAGCCTGTTTTTACTGTAAACTGATGAAATTTGATACAGTCTAGAACCTTAGAGAATAGCTTTAAACAAAGGCGCTATTTGTTTACAGTCTTTTTCGCTTGTCTACCACAAAGTACAAACATAGAAAAAAAAAATTGAATTAAGAATTGTTTCTGAATCGAATAGTGACCTTACGAAATGGAATCAAATATTTAGGCACTGAAAGATTTCTATTTTTACCCAGAAATATTCTTAATCTCATGCAAGACTATGCAAACACCAGGAGGACTTTCAATGGGATTCAGAGCAGTGGGCTCTTAATTTTTCCAGAGCTGTTGGTAAAGAGACAAAAATGGGATGTTTTCTACTCTAAATAGGAGATTTCACACTTATTACCTCACATAGATAAATGTTCTTAAGTACCATGAAGTAGAGACTTCACTGGTTGGTCTTCTTTAAGCTCAGCACTGTACGGCAGCCTGCAGCACAAAAGAAAAAATCCATTCCTCTTCATGGATTATAGCTGGATGACAGCCTCTTGATAAAGTCCTTAGCTTTCAAAAGTCACAAAACCCTTCCATAAAGCCAGACAGGATTGTGCTGTTAGTCTGATCAACTTCAGTGGTCGTGATTAAGTGTCTCAATGCGCCTCGAAACCACATTTATGTTTTCTTCTTGTCCCCGTGTGCAGGCGTTCTGCTCGACATCCAGCGGCACTATGAGGTATCTGACAGCGGAGCCGGCTTGTTGCAAACAGGTAATTCTCCTTTAATCCCTTAATTACACATGAGAAGAAAAACAGTGGCTCCAATCCTGAACGCATATCTCTGTGATTACTGTAATTACTGCAGTAGTGTCATTTTTAAAAGAATGGGACAATGAACAAGTGTTTGAACTCCAAATCTTTGGCTTTGATCTCAGCCTATAAAAATTATTTGTGTATTAACGCAGATCCAGCAGCTACGTTTTCACTTTTTTAATCGGAAACTCAAATAAATTTGTTGGATGCCAACTTTACAGACGTTTTAAAGAGAAAACATTTTACCAGAGATGCAAAAATTAGAAGTTGACATTTAAAATTAATGTTAAGGCCAATAATAAACATAGAACAAAGATAAAAGAATGACCAAATGCTTTCTATAGCATCTTATATTGGGAATTAGTACAGCTAGCATAGCTAAAGCATCAATTTCTATACATATTCCCTAAAGAAGGAGGACTCTAAGATTTCTTAAACATTTCCAAATTAATTTTTCATTCTTTGATTTGTGACAAAGGTTAAAAATTAAATGTTATGAATAAAATACAGTCTTTACACTGATTGAATGAATGGCAGACATATCTCACTTTTCCATAAAAACACATTTTCTTTTAAATAACGTTCTTCTTTCATTTTTAAATACCCCACTGATGCAAAAAAGCTCCTTCAGTCAGGAACAACTTCCACACTGAAGAGTGGTGTTGACATGCTAGCAAGGCATGGCGCATTCATTGTTCAAAAAAGGCTAGATTGTTGAAGTTCTGACCGTTCAGTTTTGGATTCAAAATGTACATGATTTCAAGACTTCTTACATGCACAAACATATAAAGTTTTGAAGCACATGTCATCCTCAGCTGACTCCTGGAACTATTCGCTGGACTGAAAATGAAGCTCTTTGTGTTTTTGCTCTTGCACCACTGGATCCCATCGTAACTCAAGCGACAGACTTGTGGTAGAAGCGTTTCCTCCCGGCAGCGTCAGTGCGGCAGAGAGGAAAACACGGCTCCAGTATGCGCGCTTCCAGAGTCTGACGACTCCGGTTTGGGGCAGGGCTTCCTGTGCCATTCCGAACCCCAAAATAAATCCATCTTCTAAGGAGATACCGTCCAAAGCCCTCTTTTTGGAGGACAGGACCTCGTCTTGTCTCTGCCTGTGTACTCAGGCTCGGCCAAACACCGGGGGCACCTCTCCGCACACAACGTGCCATTGAGGACAAGCAGGCAGGTTTAGGTTTGAGGCAGGGAAAGAATACAGTCCAGTGTTTCACTCCACTTCACTTGGCGTTCCTAAACTCACTTTGGTTGAACGGCGGGTTAGGGATAAAAATATCCAGCAGGAAAAGTAAAGTGTTTTCACTGAATTAGGCACTTGTTAACCCTCTAAATCTCATTTACACCTACAGTAATCTGGTTTTACTTGATCCTTTGTGTATTTTGTACTTTCCACTCCTCATGTGAACTTGCGGCAATTGCCCTGAGTGGCAGAAAGTTTTCTGTCTGCTCTGGGCCTGCTCCAGCCTCTGCATTTGTATGGGAGAAACCAGAAATTATGAAGGGTGTTTTGTTTTCATTGGCTTGTTATGTCTGCTGTGCTCAGACCCACATTTGCAGAGGCTCAAGCACATTTGTGTTTGTTGACTTGCAGAGACAGCTAATTTATCCCCTATACCTTTAAAGTGAATGAAAGGTCTCCATAAACCCAAGCTTAGAGTTTCAGTCACACTGTGACGAGGCTCTATCTGTTTTGCTCTGGACTCCACTTGGCCCCTGATACCCGGGTGACCCTTTTCTCACACCAGAATGAGAAATTGTGCTTGTCGGGGCCTTGAGCTGTGAGAGCTGGGTGGGTGCAGACCCTGAACTTAGGTGCGAAGAAGAGGTTTGGAGGCTGATGTAATGCTGGTCCTGGAAACGAGCGAGTCTCAGCTCGATGTGTGGACATGGATGTTTACATTTTGCACATCCGGCGTTCCCCACCCCCAGCTTCCTTCTTCAGCGGGAACAATCCCCGCCTCTGTGAGCACCTGGCTGGTTCTGCCTTTCCTCCATCCTCTCTGGCCCGGCAGCTCGGCTCCACCTGGGAACGCAAACTGCAGACGTAGGTGTTTTGCAGGCGGTGGGTGTTGTCTCTCAGCAGAGGTTGTTACTCATTCGCTGCTGCCAGGTCAAACTCACCACACACCGCAAGTCACAGACTAAGCTAACAGCTGAGTGAGAGTCACTTAACGTGCTGAAGGAAGAATTTTTTTCTTTTTTACAATCTTTGGGTTTTCTTTAGACTGCAAAAAAATTTCTTTGTGTCAAGGTCAATGGCAAGTTGCTTTGGGGAATACCATCTCGACCACACAGCAGAGTTGCTTCTTAGGCCTGCATGTCAATAAATCCAGATAAACCAACTCCGAACTCTTTAAATTTCTTTATAGACACAAACATCTTATTATTTCTGTGTGATTTATCGAGCACATGACAATGAGATCTTCTATGTCTCTAGTCAGGTCTTTATAAAAATGAATATTTCTGCCACATTGATTAAAAGAATAATATGGTACACACAGGATCACTTCAGAAAAGCTTTCATCCACAGAAACACGCACATTGTTTTAAACATGCCAAACACCTAGGGGGCAGTGTAGCGCAGTACTAAAACCTACGTCAACCAATCAGATTGCGATAAAGCAACCAGGACTTCCTGTTAGGAATTAAACATTGTGCCAAATAATGATGTGGGATATCGTTATTTGTTGCAGATGAAAATACAATCAACTTTGACAAAGAAAACCAAAATTTAACCTCCTTAGCATGATGCCCCCATGCTAAGGAGCTTCAAATTGATTGGTAAACGATTTTAAGATAAAATATTAAGAAGCATGCATTATATTTTTAACACTTAATAATTACACATCACTTTGTGTGTTCTGTCATGTAAAATCCCCACATAATACAGTGAAACCTGTGGACCGAGGGTTGTAAAAATATTAATGATAATAATAAAAACAATTCTCTACAATCTCTCCCCAACAGCGCTGACCTGAATGTTTTTGTTTTGTTTCTTTAATTATTGTTTTGCCATGTGTTGTGTTAACCCCGTGTTTACACACTCGGGAACAACACAAGGAAAATACCCTGTAGCCTCTGCAGTGCAATTTGGCAACACAGATGCTTCCAAAAGCAGCTTACGCAACAGAAACCGACGAGGTGCGTGCTCACCTATACCGAGCACGCACGCATTTTGTGCACATATGTCCTTCCAGACCCATAAAGCTCTCAGGAGCTGAGAGGTTGATGAGCTCAAAGCTGTCAGAGCAGAGGGGCGCTCGTTGAACTCGGAGGGTTTGGGCCCGACCAGCCGACGGAGCCCTTCAGACCTGAATTGAGCGTGCTGCTGAAATATGGAACGGTTTCTGTGTGTGTGTGTGTGTGAGTGTGTGTGTGTGTGTGTGTGGCCCTCAGGCAGAGGCTATCTGAAGTAACTGTGTCTCACACAGCTGTGGAGAGGACAGGCCCAAGGGTGCAGAGGGTATGGAAGGTTAATGGAAGAAAGGAGAGGGGGTTTCACCTGCATGGTGTTGCCTTCCATCAAGGGGGGAGTTTGACTCCTTTTGTGAGGAATACTGAGAAATCTGAGAGAACATTTTTTCACCCCCTCCTGGTAGCATACTGCGCTTATTGTGTCCAAGCGCTTTGAGGCAAACTACAAAAGTTAATGAGTTGAATTATCTCTCATAATGGAAGCTGGCATGGTAATTACACCTCCCTGGTTTAGCATGGAGACGGTTATTGGGGTCAGCGTGGCTGGATATACAGTGGGCGAGGCAGCTTAATCAGGGAAACAGCTCACAGACCGAGTGCGCCGTCTTCCCTGCGTGGCCAACCTACCTTGTCTGAAACACGATACCAGCACACACACAGAGAGACACGCAAACACACACGGACTCTACCCCGGTCTTGACAGGGTGTCAGTCTGCCGCAGCCGGCTAGAGACGTGAGAAATGAGGCCACAGCCACCGTGTGAGACTAATGGCCTCGGCTCGGCACACACATCCCAACATGTCACAGTTGTCTGCGTGAAGAATCCGAGCGCACGCTACTAGCAGGAGGAGGTGAAGCACACCGTTTATTTAATAGGCCAAAGAACAAAGGGTGTTGATGTAAGACACAAAAAGCCAGAGTGGCATGTGATGAAAAATGTCAAATTAACAGGAAAAAGCTGTCACCCCTGCCCTGGTATTTACTATATTTTCCATTCAAAAATGCTGTAATAACTATGCCGTACCAGAAACAACAACGATGTTGCCCATAGCAAGATGAATCCAGTAGAAGATCCCGATTGTAGCTCTGTTCAGCAGTTTAAACCTGCAAACTCTCAACACCACACTAAATCCCAGCAACCTGAAGCCCTTTTCTATTTATTAATAATAACACAGGTGTACAAAACAGAAAAACTCATCAGTGTGGCTGGCACAGATGCTGTAAATGTCCAGTCTATAGAGCCATTTTGTTTTGGCATAGCATATCCCAGCATGTACAGTGAACTGGTTGGCAGAAAATCTGCTTATAAGTATTTCTGCACACAGAAATCTAAAGCTTTATCCACAGTTCCTAGACCTGGCCAATTCAAAGCTGAGCTTACCCGATTAGGCACACGTTTTCCCAGCAGCTCGCTGCCATCAGCTGGACACGCTCAGATGCAGGCGAGGTTAGAGAAATTAGTGCTGGTTCCTTTGTTCTGTTGCACATTCAGAAGTTTCATCTTTTTACTGTCTGGTATGCAGAATGTGAGCATGTAACAGTAAGCAGCCTTCAAGGGTGCAACATAGAAGCAGGCTTAGGTAAAATGCTAAGGCCTGAGGCCTACAGGGGAGTAAAAACTTCTACATACCTACTGTAGACACACAATGGTCTCTGCTGGTCTAAACTTATATTGGGGGAGGTAATGGTGTTAAATATAATTTAGAAGATATAAGACAAACCTTTGTTACAATCTAAAATGTACATTTA